TATGTGTATATGTGCATGTGCATGAGGATGTGTACACCTGAGTGCGCGTAAGTGTATATGAGTGTGCATTTTATGTAGGTTAACCAATGCGCATTGATTATTGAGAATATGCGGTTGAGCATTTGGGTCTACATATTGTATACACACAGTAGGTGCACATATAAGCTCATCGGTACGGGTGTTTGTATCATATACACATATGCAAATGTGTTCATGAAATTGATGTCCATGTTCACAGTAGAGGGATGGAGTGAGCAGGCACGTGTGTGGTTGTTTTTCTCGTCTAGACTAGACAGGTTCAGCCATACTATACAGGCTTGTTAGTATTGTCCCGGATAAATTATCCCCCTCCCCCCCCTACCTCTACTTCCACCAAAACCACCTAGATCCAAGACAGTAGGTGAGTGCCAATCGGCTGAACGCGAGACTAAAGCAACGGCCCTCATTCCCCGGAGGCGAAGGAGCCAGCGGTTACGGCACCGATCTGGATTGCCCCGGTGTAGACGGTGACAAAAATCTCCTAGGTAGACCCAGACCGCCAGAAGGCATTGACTCCTTTGCACATGCGATTTAAGGACGACGAGAACTGAACCTGACCCACTAGCAATGCCTTTTGAGCTTTCCTTTATTAAATGGGATGTTGAAGGACGCTGTGAAGTCAGGACAGAGAAACATAAAATGCTAAATGATGGATACGTGCTTCATTGGGGTAGCAAACAAGAAATAGGATGAGTTTCTAAGCTCACAAACACCTGGAATTCTACAGGATAAGAGAAAGAGTAGCTTTCGAAATATTATAAATGATCGACAGGTAAAACTTCAAAATTGTTCAAATCTCTACCCCAGTGGTTCTAAAATTATGATCTTAGCAGGAGCGCCGGAAGCAATTTTGGGTTCGAGGACAGCTTTTCAGAATGGGCACTTTCCAAAAATGGAAAACGAATCCCTCATTTGTTAGGACAAGTTTCGTCTTATCTATCTTGCTTTGAAATTCATTGCTCACAGCAGTGAGTTATACTGTCAGTGGGAAATATCCTGTTTACTTTTTTGCCTTTAAATCGAGATCCATAATGCATTTTGGGGGAAAATGTCATACTTTTACAGTATGTCTGATGCTCGAGAATGATAATCGTAACCTGCGCACAGACCATGACATTTTGGCTTCGAGGCTAAACTTGTAAACTAACCATGACATCTTTGAACTAGGAAAAGCTTAGCGAAGTGAATAGATGATTAAATGGCAAGTAACAGGTCCCATGTCAATCTCACGGTGTCGTCATTGGTTAGACACATGGTGGCCCTGTCAACTGTAACCAATGAACCGGCGTAGGGACAGCATTTCCATTTATATGCATTATATATATATATTATATATATATATATATAT